TTGAGGACATTTTACAAATACTCAAAGTTGTAGTATATTGGAAGGGGGGTTGGAAGGGGATGCACAAGGATGTTCAATTGTTTGTTCAATAACGTCTCACTTGCTAGCAGTGTAAGTATGATAATGCAAGTTTCCCTGGTTTGTTACAGCCTCTCCTAAACCTTGGTCATGTGGTAGCAAATCATAATGAAGATGGATTACCAATTTCTTATGAGAAAAAGGTTGTTTTTGTGAGTGTAGATAGAATGAGTAAAATTACTCATCTCATGGCTTTATATCATCTATATATCTTCAAATTTGGTCGTTATTGAAATAAACCAATCTTTCATGGATAATATCTTCAAATTACATGTGTTTCCAAATTCTACCACAAATGATAGAGTCTTCACTACCAAACTTTGGAGAGAATTCATGAGTTTACAAGCGATTTAGATTTAGTTCTATAAATCCTATAACAAATTGAATTTATTGATAGATTTTTTTGTCTGTAATTCCTAAATCCGTAGGTAAGTGTTTGTATTCTATACAGCAAAAAAAGTCATTAGAAAGTTTGGAAAAAATTTGATGTCATTTTGTGAGAAAAAATCCATCATTAATGTAAAGATATTTTAAAAGTATTTTTACAAAATAAAATGTAAAGAATTTTAAAAGTATTTTTACAAAATAAAAAAATATTTCAAATTATAAAAAAACATTAAAGATTTTAAAGTTCAACCATTTTCGAATAATTGGTTTTGTATTCCTAAAAATTAAATTATTTGATATTTATAATCTTATTTGTAACAATTTTTCATCAAAATTTAAAGATTAAACTCATTGAAAAATTTATTTTTTAATTTTATTTTAAAATGAAATAGATGTATTCTTTTATAATTTATATATTAAATTATTATATTTTAAATAAAAACTAATTTCATTATAAAATTTAAATTTTTAATAATTTTTTAAATTATTTATTTTTATTTAAATATTTTTTATTCAATTAATTTGATATAGATATGTTAATATTTTTTTAAAAATTCAACTAAGCCAAAATTGGTTTGTTAAGTCATTGGTTTAACATAGGGTCATAATTGACTAAATTTTTTTATTCATTTTAAAATATAGATCAGATTCGATCATCAAATATTTTTAATTAACACTACAAGAAAAAATAGTTTTAGTAATTGAAAAAATTGGTTACTAATATTAAAAAATTGATCGTTAATAAGTTAACGATCAAAATTAGCAAAAAAATTGATTGAAATAATTTTTTAGAATTTTAAATTTAAACCTTCAATCAAACCATAGTTTTAAATTTTTAAAATAAATATAAACACATGCATCCAAACAAGTCATAAACGAACCCATAACCCATTTCAACCCAAAAATCCAGTGTCATTGTGCGTTGTTGTTGTTGTCATTCAACCTAGCAAATTTTTTTGGATTTAATTGAATTTTGAATTCGCACAATTATAATTATAATAAACTAACTCATTTAATAATTACTATTTAAAATATTATAATTACTTTGGAAGTTATTTGGATTTGATTATCACAATAAATTAAATATAATAAATAAATATTGGAACTGATATATATATATATATATATATATATACAAATTTTAAATTATTTTAAATTCGCAGAAAATAATTATAATAATAAAAAATACTACTTTTATTCATTTAAATCATTTTAGATACACTAAATTATCTAAAAATTAAATAAAATCACTTATTTATAGTTTGTTATTTTAAAAATTATTGTTAATATATTATTAATTTAGTTATTTATAAGATAAAAAACACTTTAATTATCTTAATAAAAAATTAAATCAAATATATTATTTTATTTAAAAAATATTTAAATCAAATATATTATTTTTAGGATATTTAATTGTTTTCATATTTAATTAAAAATAATTATTTAAAAAAATATATATTTATAACTTTTTATTTAAATATATATTTTTTTCTTCTTCACTTCAATTCCTATAAACTTCAACAAGTATAATTACATGTATAATTAATTAAATATTCTAAATTCTAGTATAGAAATTATTTCGTCTAGGAACGAAAGTGTTTCAATCATATTTCCGCTATAATAACATTGTTAGGATTAATTTCATATTTGTTTTAGAGTTTTTAGTCCATTACGATTTTATCCTTAAAACACGTATCATGGATTAAGAGATAAAAATGTATATAAACTATTTTACCCTCATTTTTAAGTGATATGAGACTTAGAAATAGAAATATATAAAATAAATAAACAAATATAAAAGTAAAGAAAAGAGGAAAGAAATTATCCACTCTTCTCATTCACATAAATTAAAAAATAGAGTATTGCATGCATTGAAAAATAAAATAGTAAAATGAGTTGCCATAATTTGAAGTATTAGAGACATATTGAGATTCACACTATGCCATAAGTTTTTATCCTTCTTGTAATAGTTTCACCTCTAAAAACATCATTATAGTATAAAAACATGAGATGAAATGAGATAATATTTAGTTTTATCTTTTACACGTATATGTATTATTATATTCAACCTGATATCAGAATTTTCAACAAGTCAAATAAATACTAAAATTATCACATTTATAGATAGAATATCTTTATATTTCCTAAATAAATACTAAAATTGTCATAGATAGAATATCTTTATGTTTCCGATCATCAAAAGAAAAAATAAATAAATAAACCATGTAGAACTAAATACTTCTACTCTATGTTCCTTCTATCAATGTATTGTATTTTTTTCTAATTTATGAAAATAAATAAATTTTTAAAAAAATTACGAATTTGGTAAGTTGTACTTCACGAATTTAACGTGTTGAAGAAATAATCTTTCATAACACAACTTATTCAAATCGGTAGTTTAAAAAAAAAAAAAATTGCTTCACACGTTTGTGAAGTAGAATAGTTGATTCAGCATAATGTGTGAAACAAAGAAGTATCTTCACAATGTACATGGATCATAGGAAGGTGTACCCTTCGATCAAAAATTTATTTACTTACTGCTTTTTAAAAATAAGTGAAGATAAGTTTCTATTCTCTTTATCTTTTTAAAAAATATATTTAAATAAATTTTAGATTTATAGAATTATAATTATAAACTATCTGATTTGTTTTATAATTTTTAATTAATAAATAATACAAAAATAAATAAACAAGTATAATTTTTTTTAAATATTTAAGTCTATATATTTAAACTCATGTGGTATTATTTTATTTATTTATTTATTTAAGTATGTATAATAATATTATGATTATTATAAATATTTAATAATAAAATAATTTTATAAAATACAGTATATTTGATTTTCTACTAAGTACATGCAAGGGAAAGAGAATGTAATGATCGATTCACTCCTCATATTAGATTTAGTGGAATGTCGTGCTTTAGTTACTTGTTAGTTATAATATGATTTATTCGCCAAAATTTAGCAGTTATGACTAATTTTTGAGATTGTGAATGATCCTTTCGCACATACGTATCACACTTGGATCAATGGTGAATTACAAAGAAAGGGAATATTGGTTTATAAGGAGTGATTAAACCTTAAAAAAATATATTCTCCAATAGTTACATGCTTCTTCAATTGAGGACATTTTACAAAGACTCAAAGTTGTAGTATATTGGAAGGGGTTGGAAGGGGATGCACAAGGATGTTCAGTTGTTTGATCAATAACGTCTCACTTGCTAGCAGTGTAAGTATGATAATGCAAGTTCACCTGGTTTGTTACAGCCTCTCCTAAACCTTGGTCATGTGGCAACACATCATAATGGAGATGGATTATCAATTTCTTATGAGAAAAATGTTTTTTGTGAGTGTAGATAGAATGAGTAAAATTGCTCATCTCATGACTTTATATCATCCATATATCTTCAAATTTGGTCGTTATTGAAGTAAACCAATCTTTCATGGATAATATCTTCAAATTACATGTGTTTCCAAATTCTATCACAACTGATAGAGTCTTCACTACTAAATTTTGGAGAGAATTCATGAGTTTACAAGCGATTTAGATTTAGTTGTCTAAATCCTATAACAAATTGAATTTATTGATAGATTTTTTTGTCGAGTAATTTCTAAATTCGTAGGTAAATGTTTGTATTCTATACAACAACAAAAAAATCACTAGAAAGTTTGGAGAAAATTGTGATGTCATTTTGTGAGAAAAAATCCATACTTAATGTAAAAAAATAATTTCAGTCAATAATATCAATAAATTCGCCTATAATGTAAAAAGTAAACCATTAGTAATATTAATAATCCGTAGATAATTAATAATACATATTATAAAATATAATGAATTTACATCTAATTATATATATATATATATATATATATATATATAATTTGATATAATATGTGATAATTAATTATGTTAATTTTTTAAAATTAAAATTGAAAAAATGTAAAAATTTAAAAATATTACCACAAAATAAAATGTAAAGAATTTTAAAAGTATTTTTACAAAATAAAAAAATATTTCAAATTATAAAAAACCATTAAAGATTTTAAAGTTCAACCATTTTCGAATAATTGGTTTTGTATTCCTAAAAATTAAATTATTTGATATTTATAATCTCATTTGTAACAATTTTTCATCAAAATTTAAAGATTAAACTCATTAAAATATTTATTAGATTATAAAAATATTTAAATTGATATTGATATATATATATATATATATATAATATTCCATTAAAAATAGTTTTAACCTTTTTTAGAATTAAAGATAGTTATAATAAATAGTTAATGCATTATTTTATATTGTCATTAAAAAAATTAATTGTGTTTCAATATCACATTAAAAAAAAAATATTTGATACGTTTTTTCTTCCACAAATACTATAATGAATATAATATTTAATGATATTGATCATTCAACTTTATATTAAGGTTGAATATAAAAGTAGGTAACGGGAAAGGTGAATAGCAGAAAGCAATCTACAGGAGAGTCCTAAAAAAATGATAAATACAATGATCTTTGTTTTGTGTTTGGTTATGAGTGGTGTTAACTCTGCAGTTCATGCCACTCAAAATACACTGAAAGAAGATTTGGAACTGAAAAGACCACTAAAGCTCATTAACAAGCCTCCTAGCAAAATTATTCATGTATTTTGTGCTCTTTTAATATATTATCTTATATTTTCTTTTCTTGTGTTGAATCAAAATACGTTTTATGCATTGTATTATAAATTTTACAGACAGAGTCTGGATACATTGTTGATTGCATTGATATCAAGAAGCAGCCAGCTTTTGAGCATCCTTTACTGAAAAACCATACCTTGCAGGTATTTTTATTTTCACTTTTTTTAAAAAGTCAAAGGTGGAAACTTTCAATTTTTCTTTTATTACCCTCTTAATTTTAATATTTGTTTGCTCTGTTTAATCATAGAGAAAACCTAGTTTTCACATACCAATGGACAAACCCATGTTTGGACTTGACAAAGAAGAATGTCCCACAGGAACGGTTCCTATCAGGAGAACAACAAAAGAAGATCTTATACGAGAAAAATCACTATTAAACTACAGTATCATGGTTGAAGGTAATCCTGGTGTGCATGTAAGTTCTCTTGAGCAAAAAGTACCATACTTTATTTTTATCTAATTCTTCGCTTTTGCTGAAATATATTGATTTTTATTTATAGCTTGCAGAAGTAGCTCTTTCATCAGAATATGGTCCCTACTACGGAGTTTTTGGATGGAATAGCGTTTATAATCCAAGTGTTAGTGGTAGCAATCAAATGTCCCTTTCTCATTTATGGGTTCAAAATGGACCAACAAATACAATTAACAAAATCAGTGCTGGATGGCATGTGAGTTTTAGTCTATCCAATTACATGCTGTTTCTCCAAAAACATTATTCCAAAGTTCTTAAATTTGTGTTTATTCGATTATAGGTATCTCCGGAATTGTACGGTGACCATGACACCCATGTATACGCATCATGGACGGTAAGAAATATAATAACATTATTTATGTTCCACACACAATAGAGTATTAAAAATGAAAATGTTAATGTGATGTTATATCATATACAGACAGATAATTTTCACAAGACTGGATGTTACAATATTCGATGTTCAGGATTTGTCCAGACTCATGAAAAAGGTTTCATTGGTTCCCGTGTGAAAGATGTATCTACTTACGATGGACCAACTATTAACTTCAATATTTCTATCATTCAGGTATAATTTTTCATGTAATATATGGTGTGATTTGTCATGTTTAGTGAGAAAGTTTGCATGGTTTTCAGGATTCATCGACCAAGAATTGGTGGTTGATTATTGGAGGGGTTGATATTGGATATTTTCCGGCAGCATTATTCTCGAATATGAGTTCAGCAGATGAAGTGGGATGGGGTGGCAGAACCTTAACTCCTCGGGGTTCTCCTAGTCCTCCAATGGGATCTGGTCATTTTCCTGATAAGACCTTTTCTCATGCTAGCTTTTTCAGGATGATTTCTTTTCAAGATGCTTCAAGACAAAGTTATGGACCCTCAGAACATCAATTACAGTACTTCATTGACAATCCTACGTGCTATGGTCTTAGTTATTATGGTAATCTCAAAGGAAATGCTGGATATTCCTTCGAGTTTGGAGGACCTGGGGGTAATTGTGGCGATTGATTAGTTTATTTGTAATCATCATCCACTTCAAAAAAATCTTGTAATTATCATTATTTTCAATAATTTATTAATGATTTAGTAAACAGAGTTAATACAGCAAAAGCCAGAATCATGTTAAATAAAAATTTAATTATGAAATGATATGCATAGATTTCTTATTATTTATTGTCAGAGAATATACACTCTTATTTACATAATCTAAACTATTAAAGTTTATCGTAAACAAAGTGAGATTGACGAAAATATATATTTAAATGAAAAAGTACGAGTAACTGTTTTAAAATAAGTATTTTTAATTAAATATAAAAAGTTAAATATCTTAACACTAATATGTTTAATTTAATTGTTTATTAAGATCATTAAAATAAAATTATATTAAAAGTTTATTTTTTTTAATTTTATAAATGACTAAACTAATAATATATTAAAAGTGATTTTTAGAATAATAAGCTAAAAATAAGTAATTTTATTTAATTTCTAGATAATACATGCGTTTAAAGTTATTTTAATTAATAAAAATGTTATTTTTATTATTATTATTATTATCTCTCTTTTTTACGAATTGTAAAATAATTTAGTTTTTTTATATATATATTTATCAGTTCTAATATTATATTATTTATTATATTTAATTTGTTTGTGATAATTAAATTGAAATAACATTCAAGATAATTATAATATTTTTAGTAGTATTTTATCAAATTAGAAGTTTATCTAAAATAATAATAATAATAATTAAAATTATAAATATATTGTATTTTATAAAATTATTTTATTATTAAATATTTATAATAATCATAATATTATTATACATACTTAAATAAATAAATAAATAAAATAATACCACATGAGTTTAAATATATAGACTTAAATATTTAAAAAACATTATACTTGTTTAGTTATTTTTGTATTATTTATTAATTAAAAATTATAAAACAAATCAGATAGTTTATAATTATAATTCTATAAATCTAAAATTTATTTAAATATTTTTTTAAAAAAAGATAAGGAGAAGAGAAACCTATCTTCACGTATTTTTAAAAAGCAGTAAGTAAATAAATTTTTTATCGAATGGGTACACCTTCCTATGATCCATGTACATTGTGAAGATACTTCTTTGTTTCACACATTATGCTGAATCAACTATTCTACTTCACACATTGTGAAGCAAATTTTTTTTTCAAATTTGCTAAATTAAGTATTTTTTTTTTTAAGACAAAAATATATATTTAAATAAAAAATTATAAATACATATTTTTTAAATAATTATTTTTAATTAAATATGAAAACAATTAAATATCCTAAAAATAATTCAAACATTCACATCGGTTTCAAAACGAAAGAAATGGAACATAAAAATAATATCAGTTCTAATATTATATTATTTATTATATTTAATTTGTTGCGATAATTAAATTGAAATAACATTCAAGATAATTATAACATTTTTAGTAGTATTTTATTAAATTAGAAGTTTATCTAAAACAATAATTAAAATTATAAATATATTGTATTTTATAAAATTATTTTATTATTAAATATTTATAATAATCATAATATTATATTATACATACTTAACAAAAATATTAAATTTAAAATAAATGAATAAATTAATACCAAATGAGTTTAAATCTATAAATCTAAAATTTATTTAAATATTTTTTTAATATGTAAAAGAAGAAAATAATAAAATAAAATAACATGCATGAGCTTTGCAAATACGAGACCCATTAAAACATACAACCCCACTCCAATCAATCGTTATCTTTAATTCACAAAAGAGAAAAAATATTACGTGGGCCAACTTTGCAAACTCTAGGCCCATTAAAATATGTAAAGCGACAAAATTACTGTTTGAAACTTGAACTTCTTCTGTTAAACTTCTAAGCCCAAACAAATTTTACTGGCCCCAATAATTATACAAAACCCTAACTCTAACTCCAAATTAAGCGAAAGGATAAAGTAAACAATAACAACACACAATGACACTGAGTGTATGGGTTCATTTGGGTGTATGAGTTTATCTGGATGCATCTAAGTTTGTGTTTTTGTTGTTTGGTAGAAAAAAATGTTTGTTTAATGTTATTCTTCAGGTTTACTTCATTCTTACATTGCATTCACAATCCAAATTACAGTGTATAAAACCAAAAACCAAGCAAAAGAGGATTTTAGATTGATACTCCAATTTTTAGTCTCAGGGTAAAAAATAAATTTCCAAAAAAAAAAAAAAGGAAAAAAGAAATTTTTAGTCTTCAATTTTAGATGTGTTTCCACTGACCTACTAAAATAAAAGCTATGGTTCATCGGTAATGGTCTCCATCAGAAAAATCCACCGCCTGTTAGAAAAAAGTTATAAAATAATATTATTTTATATATATATATATATATATATATATATATATATATATTATAAATTAATTTTATAATAGATTATTTATTTTAGTAAATATGAAGATAAATATTTAACAACCATTTATTTTAAGATTTAATAAATAAAATTAATTATTATTTTAAATTAATAAATTATTAAAAAATAAATAATAATAATAATAAATAATTTTTTAATTTTATTTTAAAATGAAATAGATGTATTATTTTATAATTTATATATTAAATTATTATATTTTAAATAAAAACTAATTTCATTATAAAATTTAAATTTTTAATAATTTTTTAAATTATTTATTTTTATTTAAATATTTTTTATTCAATTAATTTGATATAGATATGTTAATATTTTTTTTAAAATTCAACTAAGTCAAAATTGGTTTGTTAGCCCATTGGTTTAATATAGGGTCATAATTGGCTAAAATTTTTAATTAACACTACAAGAAAAAATAGTTTTAGTGATCGAAAAAATTGGTCGCTAATATTAAAAAATTGATTGTTAATCAGTTAACGACCAAAATTAGCGATTAAAATGTGTCGTTGCAAAGGCCAAGTCGCTAATGTGTTAGTGACCGATTTTCATTTCGGTCACAAAATAGTGACCGATAAGGTGGTCGCTAAATAATTTGGTCACTTATTTCTTAGATACCAAAATAGCGACCAAAATTAATATTATTAAATTGATCGCTAAATTGTAGCAAAGTTTAAAAGAATAACGAGTGATTTATATCGTTAGCTAATATATTAATTGAATTATTTAAATAATAATTTAAATCGGTCACAAAAATAACGACTAATAATTTCAGGTCACTAATATATTAATTAAATTATTTAAATAATAATTTAAATCAGTCTCAAATTTTTTTATTTATTTATAACCCTTCTATTTATCTAGATACTCTCCTTAGAGTTGGAGACTGATGCTCTAACCATTAAGCTACTAGCATTTTTTAATAATAACTTACAAATAAATTATATTTATATACAAATAAATGTATATCGATATAAATATATAAATATAAAATCTATAAATACAAATATATTTATATATTTTAATATATTTATATATTGATATATTTATATATTAAATTTATAAGATGGAAAAAAAATTCTTGATAACTTGAAGTAGAGATGAAAGAAAAGAAAAAGACAAGAACCCTAATATTTTAATAAAGAATTTATAATATAAATATTAAAATATTAAAGATAATATTATATTTTTCCAAAAGATAATAAATGTTTTTAATTTATTATTTATAAATTTAATTAATAAAAAAATATTAATATTATTCGTTCATTATTTAAGAAAAAAATTTAAAATATAAATATTAAATATTAAAAATAATATTATATTCTTAAAAACAAATTTTAGAAAAAGATTTAAAAACATATATAAATTGTATTTACATGGACATGGACAAAATATTAAAGATATCCAAATTTTAAAAAAATACTAAAAAATACAAAAAAAAGTATACTTTAAATTGATGAAATATATTTAAAAAAACGTTATATTTATTAAAGTATTAAAAATATTTTTTAATATATAAGTTAAAAAAATTATCATTAAAATTTTTAAAAATTATTAGTTTTGTAATTTATACACAATGAAAATAAATTACAAATATTATAATATATTGATATATTAATATAGTATAGTATATTTATATTCTAATTTTTAATTAAACTAAAATTACATTAATAATGTATAATAATATACGAGGGAATAATAAATTTAATCCAATTACTCATGTATATATCTTTTTTTTAATTTTTTTCTTTTTAAACTTCTCACATTCTACATTTTTTGAAAACTCTATCATTTTTACTACATTATCATTTTTACGAATTGTAAAATAATTTAGTTTTTATATATTTTTTTATCAGTTCTAATATTATATTATTTATTATATTTAATTTGTTGTGATAATTAAATTGAAATAACATTCAAGATAATTATAATATTTTTAGTAGTATTTTATCAAATTAGAAGTTTATCTAAAATAATAATAATAATAATAATTAAAATTATAAATATACTGTATTTTATAAAATTATTTTATTATTAAATATTTATAATAATCATAATATTATTATACATACTTAAATAAGTAAATAAAATAATACCAAATGAGTTTAAATATATAGACTTAAATATTTAAAAAACATGACAAAGCCATGTGATTTTGATACTTGTTTAGTTATTTTTGTATTATTTATTAATTAAAAATTATAAAACAAATAAGATAGTTTATAATTATAATTCTACAAATCTAAAATTTATTTAAACATTAATAAAAGGAACATAGAGTAGAAGTATTTTGTTCTACATGATTTATTTATTTATTTTTTCTTTTGATGATCGGAAACATAAAGATATTCTATCTATGACAATTTTAGTATTTATTTAGGAAATATAAAGATATTCTATCTATAAATGTGACAATTTTAGTATTTATTTGACTTGTTGAAAATTCTGATATCAGGTTGAATATAATAATACATATACATGTAAAAGATAAAACTAAATATTATCTCATTTCATCTCATGTTTTTAGACTATAATGATGTTTTTAGAGGTGAAACTATTACAAGAAGAGTAAAAACTTATG